AACTTGTCTAAGATGTGGTCAATACCTTGGAACAAACTCCAGGTTATATTCATTCTGCTTCTTTTTAAAAAAACATATGTTTTAAAAAAATTAAAGCAAAAACAAAAAAAAAAACCCAGTTACATCATTTTCACCTCCCCACATCTAATGCTCTGGACCCAGATTAGACAGCCATGCCAACTTCCCCCTAAAATCAAGCACCAGGATCCCAGCAACTAGTCAACACCAAAAATGCTGCTCCTAGTAATCAGCACCTTCAGGGCCAAATAACATAAAGGATTTGTGTTAGGAAACCAGTATAAGGCCTCAGTCCATACTGGGAGGAAAATGCCAGATACCAGGGGCTGTTGCTATTTTTTTCTATCAAAATAAAAGTGGAGGTATTAATGATGTTTCTTCAGAAATGTAAGGAGCATAATAATGTGCAATTTGGCCAACAACAAACTTTTTGGATCCACCTTGCAAGTCTGTGCTTTGGACTTTTGTTTCTCTTTATCCATTGAGCTTAATTTTAAAACTAAGTGCGCTGTTTTATGTTTGTTTGTTTCCTTGTTTCTCTTTCTCTTTTCTTTCTTTTTGGCTGGTAAGGTCTTCTGGTGATGACCTGCCTACCTTGGCTAGCATTTTTGTTGGTGTCTTACGCATGCATAAGTTCTCTTATGCAAGCAGATGGACTTTTTGGCCAGTAAGTAATGGACGTAGTCCATCAAAGATTACAAAAACAGGATTTTGTCATTTTTGTAGTGTAATTGCACATCATTATACATTCTGTATTGAGCATTGTTGCACATTGTTACAGGATCTAGACCCAAATTTCACCTACCTATTTCTGAAGTATAGTTGAAATACCCAGCAATTTCAACACTTGAAATTATGGCTGGTATCTGGTTAGTCAGTTATGATGTTATAAGTTAGATGTACAACCTTGTGTTTCCTAATCACATTTACAATTATGATACCATTACCATGATCATAAATACCCCTGAACCCACCTTAAAATCTAGCCAGATGCACTGAGGAATAGTGCACTGTGAAATGTTGGAAGGGATGCTATGCAGTCTGACTGGTCCCCCTTAAGCCGGCTCTTTGAGTCTAGGGCAGTGGGGAACAATGTCACAGACACACGGCTTTCTTGATGACTATTCCCAACCTTTGGAACTCTCTCCCATTGTTTTTTCACCAGCAGGCAAAGATGTTTTTTTATTGAAACAAACTTTTGGGGATTCACTGGTTGCTGCGGAAGAGTCTTATAACTGGGGGGTGTCGTTTTACTCTCACTGTTATGGTTCAAATGCTTTTAGATTGGGGATGCATCTACGCTGTAGAGGTAATGCAGCTTGACACCACTTTGACTGCCATGGCTCCATCTTACAGAGATATTTGTACTGTACATCCCTAGTATAGAGCCACAAGAATGAGACTACATCTCAGAAGCCACTGATAGGAAAGAAGAGCAAAAGTCATCCAATACTTTCCTTACGGGCATTGTTGAGTATAATGAAGATATTAGCAGCATCTCCAGCTCCTCTGGTGATAAGCTGCTACTCTAAGGCCTACAGACAAAGTATTTAAAGTAATTATGTCATTCCAAGTCATGTGCTACAACTTCCATAGGGTCCATGAATAAAAAATTCTGAGTGATGTTTAGTGCATCTTAATGTTGTTTTTTTTTAAATCCATGTAAGAATAATAATAATAATAATATTTATTTATATCCCACCCCTCTGCAGAGCAATCGGGGTGGCTTACAACATTAAAATTTACATAAAGATATGTTAATACAATGTAAACAGAACCTAAAAATCCTGAAACCCACCCGCTCCTTGTGAATTCCATACATAAAAAATCCAGAATAAATTTAGTGCCCATGGCCCAGTTTCCACCCTAGCAGTCACCTTGATCTAAATCCAACTCCAAGTCCCAACTAGAATAGGTTAATTGAATCAGCAGCTGAATGGTAAGTCAACATTTATATAAATCCCATTTATATGGAATTGATTCAGTGCATCTATTCTAGTTCAGAATAGCAATTGGATTTAGGCCCATATTTCTGTGTGGTACCAAGTCAGACTGCAGATGAGCCTTAAAGGACTGAACACTCCATGGAAAACTAAATACTTGGATACTGAATACAAGAATGTGAGTGAGTAATGAGAATATACAACGCACTAAAAAAGAGAATAATGCTTGGTAAAGTAGAAGGCAGTAGGAAAAGAGGAAGACTACACAACAGATGGATAGATTCAGTCAAGAAAGTCATGGCTGCATTGAGTCTGCAAGACGTGAGCAGGGCTGTTGAAAACAAAGTAACTTGGACGTCTCCCATTCATAGGGTCGCCTTAAATCGACTTGACAACAGTAAGCAACAACAAGTAATCCATATTTAGAGAGAGGCTCTAGCAAAATGTAGAGGCCCAAACTATTTTATTTACATATTGAAATGCTGGGAAGACCAAATAGGAAATAGCAACTGTCACTGATCCCAAGGCTTGATCCCAAGGCCATATCACCATATAACCTTGAATCCAAAAAACCTGCAAGTTGTTTCTGCCAAAATGCCTTGAAAATACAAGTTGCTAATACATGCCTATCCTTGTCTTTCTTGCAAAATGGCCTCCCGCCCAGGTATCATCAGATCCTCATCCTTCTTCCTCTTCTTCATCTGCCCTTTTTTCTTTATTTATGTATAATCAACTGCCTTGACCCAAAGCCATTTATAAAATGGAAACACATACAAATAAAAACAAAACTGGGTAAAAAAACCCACAAAAGTTATATTGTTAATATATAATTATACAATCCGTAGAATTAAAAACAGTTTATAACATATATGTTAAAAAGGAAAGACTTTAAACAGTACAGCACTTTATTAAAAGTCCTATCCATATAAATAATCAGTTCTCAAAAACTAGTTGGAATAGTCTTCTCCTGCTGGTGGAATGACAACAAGGAAGGAGTAAGTTAAGCCTCTCTAGAAAGGGAATTCTAGAGCCATTTTACTTCAAAATTATGCCACAAATTAAGCACTTCCTAGACTGTTCCCAATTAAATAAAGTCAAGGTTAGGTTATGCAAAGCTTCTGCTACACCCGAGGAGGCAGGAGACGCAAGGGTTCACCATTGAATCCATCTTTGTTGACACCTGGGCTGAACATAGGGTAGAGGCGTTCCGTGAAGATGTCTAAGAAGGTGAAGATGTGGTCCATAGTGTCAGCATCATAGAAGGAGACCTGTCCCCCTTCGTAATCTAAGTAGACCCCCACTTTCTGGGGCTTGACCTTGGGAGACAGCTGCTTGGATGGAGAATCTAGAGCCTTGTATTCGCTGCCATTCCGCAACCAGATGGCCCAGAATCCATTGCTGGGCTTGACTGTCACTTTGGCTTCCTTCCTGTTGACTGACTCCTTGGCCACTCCAACATCCCAGCTGGTTTTATCCCCCACTTCCACTTCCCAGTAATGGCGCCCTGAAGTAAACCCCTGGGCACCCAAAACACACACAGACTTGCTGAATCTCTCTGGCCCATCAGGGACCTCGTCCTCAGGGTTGTCCTCCAAACGTACAGTGTCAAGATCTTTGGAAAGCACAAGGTTGGGGTGGTTGGTGGTAGGATCCAAGGTTATAAGGCAAGGAGCTGTTGAGATAAGAGCAAGATGAGGTCGCTGGATATTTGCCAACTTTGTCAGTATCCTCTCACTCCTCCCCAGGAGTAAAGAATGCATCTACACCAAACAAGCAACCCTACACCAAATATGTTTTTAAATTTAATTTATCCCATCCCCAACAAGGAAAGTGAGTGGCTCGGATGTCAACTGGCTGTCAATCTGTTCTGTTTTTCAGTGTGAACTTTAAAGGAGTTACCCAAGGCACTAGGAACTAGCCCCCAAATAAATCTCCATTAAATATTAAGTTTGTACTAAAGCTCAGAGTAGATTCAATGTCTCACTGACATCAGAGACATGAACACACTCTTGGTACTGTAGTACTATGAAGAGACAAGTAATGATTCAGCAAAGAATTTTTAACACAAGCACAAAAAATACATACAGTGGTACCTCTACTTACGAATGCTTCTACTAACGAAAAA